AACTGTATAATTAAAAGAAGTAATTTAACTGAAGTGCAACTGAATGTTGCAGAAAGAACTACACTCTGAATGTGTGATGGTTTACTTTTGATTTTGAATAAATTAAAAAAAAAGAGAAAAAAATAAAATAAAATTCATTATATCGTTCTTTTAATTGCTACTGCAAAAGTCAATACATCGTTGCTGGTAAAAGGGATGCAACACAAAGCAGGAATTCTAAGATAATGCTGTAAAACCCAGTCATGTTGACTGGTGTGGTAGTTCTAGTGTTAATTGTTCGACGTTAATTGTCAAAGGAAACAAGAGAAGAAAAATTTATTTCAAAAGAGCTGAAGGTCGAGATCTGAATATTGGTAACAGCGAGTACCAAGTCAAGTATGCATGCGGCCATCGCATGATACAGGTGCACTCTGAACACGCGTGTTGCTAATGGGCGTAGGTCGAGCCTGTTCGCTTCTTCGCTTCTTTCGTAACACCAGGCTGTTCCAACGCGGCTTTGTAAACAAGATAATTAACGCAAACACCTAGGTACGCGGACGGTCGTCTTAATTGTGCACCACGGTTCGACGATCCAGGCGAAGGGGGGGGGGGGGGGGGGGGGGGGGGGAGGCGAAAGTGAGAAACGAATAGGAGAAAAAGAAACGGGGTGGGAACGAAGTAATACCCGTGGACGCCTTTGATCTCGTCGCGCTAATAACTTGTCAGAAAAGTTAATTAATAGCAGAGTCTCGAGAAGGCCGGGGCCAAGCGAGCAAGCAAGCAAAGATGATTGACTTCGTTACACATCCCTCTGTTAGACCGGGGATGAACTTCCGCTTTTCCTCTCGCGATCGTCTTCGCGGAAATCCTCTCTGAACCCTCTCTATCTTCTTATCGTTTCGTTCTGATTCGCACAGTCGCTCGCATTAATGCATTCGGACACCGTTGTGCACGCAGCATTATTCTATCACTATCGTATTGACGCACGTGTATATCATTAGCTGTAATTTATTTTTAATTTTTTTTTTTTTTTGAGATATTTCTAGGCATTATTGTCATTAGTGTCGCGTGTTATATTATTAATGCACATTGTCTACTGTATACAGTAGATGAAAGTATTTGGATAATTGTAACTTGAATAATAATTGTAATAGAAAAAAATTTAACTAAATGACTGAATGCAGTTATTACAGTAGGTAGCTCATTTAGGTATTCTACTTTCATGCATATTTTATCTGTGTTAGGTAGGTAAATATTCAGAAATTTCATTAACGCTGTATCGCAGATATTAAAGTGAAACAAAATAAATACAATAAATCGTTCTTTTGGATTCAAAATAAATACAATAAATCGTTCTTTTGCGTCCATAAAATAAATCATTTCTGGATTTCGTTCATAAAAACTTATATAAATACGTAGCTGACAAGCTTAACAACAAAATAAATGAAATTTGAAAAATAAAAAGTTAGCTAAGCTATAAAAAAAATATCTGTTACTTGCAATTTCTCATTTTGTTCGTCTACTGATTAATGCGCATACTTTCTCGTCAAACGTCCGAATATTAATGCGAGCTACTGTAATTGCCATATTTCTCGCGGCGACAAAAGGGCGCGTTTTTTTTTAAACGTTCTAATCGAAAGTTATTGCGAGAGGTAGTATATCAAACTTTAATTAACGCTCTGTAAATACGTGTCCATATATTCATTCAACTTTACATCGGCTATCATTGTAGTATTGCACTTTCTCACAACATTATATGGATGCCAAGTCATTCATTTCTATTAACCGCTACATATTTTCATATCTCACATCAAAGGAAAGAATTTAAAAGCGAATAAAATTTGGTTAATATAAATAAAACTCACTATATGAATTAAGAAAAAGTTGGATTTAGTTATACATATATGAGAGTAACAGTGTATGAAATGTCGTTTCTGTAGAGTTTAAATTTAATGAACTAGTAAGTGTTCGCAGAGTTTGATTTTATCGTTAAAAAAAAAGAAAAACAAGAAATTATTATTGCACACGCATTGAATGCACAAGGCGTGCAGTGAATGCAAAAGTATGAAATGTGATTATAAGAAAAAACTTCAAGGATTAGAATATGAAATCCCACTATTCTTCCCCGTTCCATTCACCAACTTTAATAATTCCAAACAACTAAACAATCTTTTTAACGAACAGGTGAAACCGTGCAAGCAATTTTAAATTGTAAAACTGATACCCTTCGTAAATCTGAAAGTAACAGAGTTAATTAACATCGTTCGTTTAGCATGCATATTCATTGTACACTCATACTGCATATATATCGTATATTTAGAAATTGTTTCAAACAGATACGCGATATTTCAAAGAGAATGTAATTAAAATTCAATTTGCTAAATCGACAGTTCATACACGCATTATTTTAATACAATCTGACACTCAACGTACGCAGTGTGTCTAGACGCTGTTCAAACGCTCGAACGCAAATATCTCGCGTGCATAAATATCACATACAGCATGAAAAAAAAAAAAGCAGAAATATTTTGAAACTGAGCTCTCCGCAGGAGGAAAATATTGACGAGACAGAGAGAAAGAGAGAGAGAGAGAGAGAGAGAGAGAGAGAGAGAGAGAGAGAGAGAGAGAGAGAGAGAGAGAGAGAGAGA